CAAACTGGTGTTGGTATGTCCTTAGTTCCATATAGGAACTGGGGGGAGGGAGATTAACCCCCTTCTTCTGACCCTTCAAAACTAATAATTGAAGTTAGTGCTAAGTGTAATCCGTTGCTCTTTGCCAAACCTTGAATCAATGGCTCAGCTTCAGAAACATGCCATTTTGATTTAGTTGTTCCTGGTGGGGAGGGACCAAATGTTTGTGACAAACAGCGTTGATCAGACTTCTGCTACTGCCAATAGATATGTAAATCTTTATAGTTTCCAAGACGTGGAGGCATGGCTCTGAATCCCCAACAGGCTGGAATGTTATTATTTCACATGGCAGAAATCCAAAGTTAGTGACTTGAGCTCTAAGATTGGAGTGTACAATTTCTCCAAGGACTGCATTTGGCTTTTAAAAGGCATACTGAGGGCTATATGCCAAAGACAGCATCTGGACAAAAAAAAAAATTATATTGAAGTTCAGCAATAGATATTTTAAGGGACTTTCCACTTTCTGATTTCTGATTCATGATGTTGCAACTCCTGGTTTTTCTTACTCGTATCAGCACAACAGCTCTGTTGCTGGTCTCTATCATAGTTTCTTGTGGTGGCACACCAAAATCTTCCATGGGCTGCATTTTGATTGGTGCAAAAATTGAAAGCTTTCCTCTTGGAGATGAAGGGAAAGACCCAGACCTGGCCGTTAGAGTTGCCTTCATATTCTGTAGATATTGGAAACACAAAGATAAACAGGAGGGTAGCCTTTGTATTGGGATGAACTTTAATCTTAACCAGCTTACATCCCAAACATCTCAGCTTCCTGGAAATCCTACCAGCTGTCCCATCCAAGGACCACCCAACACTATGCAGAAAATGCCTTCTTGATGCTGCAGCTGCCAACATTCATATTCATTCATTCATTTGTGCAATTTCTATAGCCACCCATCTCATTCCAAGTGAGTCTTGGTGGCAAACAGCTTCTCTCTTAATTGGAAAAAAATTCCTTCCTACCTAGAAAAAATAGGACATCCCTTTTATATCCTCTTTATTTTTCCATTTGCAAGTATGTTAGAAAACCCTGACAGCTGGGCCTTGAATAACAATAGCATTCCAGCAATTCAATCAGGAATGGAAATATGAATTTTTGTTTAACATCAAGTGATAAATCATGCAAAAGCAGCTACTGGTTTGTCTGGGGCTTTTTCCACACATAGATAAAACAGAGGATGAGCCTATTACACTTAACTAGATCCAATCTAACACTCCATGGGGTTGGAAGTGACCTTGGAGGTGTTCTTGTCCATCCTCTGCCTAAGGCAAGAATCCTCAGACCATCTTAAACAAATGGATGTTCAATCTTTGTTTGAAAACCTCCAGTGACAAAGCACCCATGACTCCAGGAAGCAGGCTGTTTCATGGCTTAATAGGTCTCACAGGGAGGAAATTCTTCCTTATTTCAAGTTTGGATCTCTCTGTGTAAGTTTCCACTCATTGTTTCTTGCCCTATCATCCTGGACTATGGAGAATAAATCCACACCCTCTTCCCTGTGACACCCTTCAAGTATTGGAACACTGCTGTCAAGTATCCCCTTAACTGTCTTTTCTTTAGATTAAAAATTCCCAGTTCCTTTAACCATTCTTCATAAGATTTAGCCTCCAAGCCCTTATGGCTTTTCTCTACATTCTTGTTAGTTCCTCTGCATCCTTCTCATATTTTGGTGACCAAAACTGGACCCAGTATTCCAGGTACGGTCTAACTAGGCCAGCACAGAATAGAACTATCACTTCCTGTGTTTTCAATATGATACCTCTGTTGATGAAGCTCAAGATTGCATTTGTCTTTTGGCAGCTGCAGCACACTGCTGACTCATGCTTAATATGTGGTCTACATCTGGCCATACCTCTTTAACCTCAGACATGCATTTTCCTAGGGCCCCAGGAAAATCTGCAGCTTCTTACCTATTCCAAAGCACCTTTTCAACTTCGGATCCAAAGCACGGCACTTCCTTATATCCTGATACCTTTGTGAGCTGCGCACTGCTAAAGATACCATCAGATTGGCTCAGCAGCCTGTCACTTGTACATGGAAAAGTGCTTTTAATTTAAATAGCTACAACCACTTGGACAAAAATGATATTAATTTTAAATTATTTAAAACTATTATTTTCTATTCAGTAGATTATTTCCCCACTGAATGTTATTTCCCCAATGACTCCCACTGATCCTCCCTTACATAAAAATAGACAGAGAAAATAAACTGTACAAAATATTACAAAAATGCAAGCTAAGATGCTATCTAATTGCAATCTTTTCTGTAGAATAACATCTCTTTTCATCTTTTCCTTCCATAGGAATTGAGGGATTGACCTTCTATTGAACAGAGCTATCTCAGCTTCAGTTCTTCTGCTTCCAACCCTCTGCCAGCTGTTGGGGATCCCCCTTCCCCTTCACCTAGGCAAAGGAAATCAATTCTTTAGTGACCTTTTTCAACTGCACTTCTCCCCATTTCTTATTACCATACATGTATTAGTCAGAACAGATAGCAGCACTTGGCCAACCTTGGTGATCTTGAAAAAGCTAAGCAGGGTCAGCCCTAGCTATTACTGGGAGTAGAGATCACCAAGAAATCTTAGGGTTATAGAGAAATAGAAAACTTACTGTATCCCTGAATGGCAAACCACTTCTGGTTTGCTGCTACAAAAACAACATGGATGTGTCCATGTAGTCCCCAAAGCTAAGCTTAAAAAGGCTTTATTTTACTTCTGTTTTGATTTATTAGAGGTATATGACACTTTCTTCTAAGAACAAAAAGTGCACAGCTATAGTCTGCTCTCCAGTGTTATCCCCAGTGCAGCCTTGTGAAGTAAATTGGATTGATCAATGATAACCAGTGGAAAGTAATCCAGTGAGTTTTTGCGACTCAGTGTAGACTTGTACCTGGATCTCCCCTGTCCTAGTCTAATGCCATAACCATTTACACTCAGGTTCTTATGCATGACTGGTGAGTAGCGTTCTCCAAAATGCTCACTTCTTATCATCTGAGTTTTTCCATACCTGAGGGTGTACAGTAAGACCATTTTGGGTTTCTATCATAGTTGCTGATTAAAGAGCACCAGTTTTCTAACAGAAGACCCAGCTGTTGTGCCAGCTGAGTAGGACCTTCCCTTGTAGGTGAAAGGAAAGACACAGGGCCCTTGAGAATATGCAGCTAATTCCCAAGAGTGATGAAAAGAAGAGTGAGAGAGTCAATGATTTCATGCTGTCATCTGTGTTCAGCATCTGAGTTAATGTATTTCTAGCTCAACTGCAGCAGATCAAAAATTATACTAAAACCAATCTTTCTATTTGACATGCTGAAGTTCTGCAGAGTTGGTGGATATCCCATTTTTTAATTCTTGGCACTCTTGTCTCATCCTGACTCCCAGTTCCTGAGCAAAAGTAGCCTCTCCCTCCCCTTGTAGTTTCACTTCCTATAGCAACTTGCCAAGGGACTGTTATTTTCACAGGTCTTTTAAATGCAGCATTGGAATAGTGCTTTTGTAGCTTTCGTTTTCCTTATACCATTGTTTAGATTTTCTTGGAAATCCTGAACTAAAAATGTGGATGGGAGTGAGACACTGATTGAATGCCATTCTTAATGGACTCTCTTTTAGAACATCTAGAGCAAACACTGATTGTCTCTTGGTGTTCTCAACAGTTTGAGGTGGCAATTATATGATGAATTTCCTCCAAACCGCTTTTGAAATATTAGAAATGGAAACAATGGTGGTGTGGAAGTGCCCAAGGGTGGGGGGTGGGGGTGGGGAGAGAGACAGAGAGAGAAAAGCAGCATTTCTTACTACTAGTTCATGTATGTTCCTATCAGTAATGACCCATTTTCAGAAAACCTGCATTCTCTCCTCTCTTTCTTCAGTTACAGAGCAGTAGAAATTACCACATTGGTAGAGATGTTGGGTTAACTGATCTGAATCTACAATAATTACCCTAAACACTCTCAATATATAGGTTGCTCTTATACTTGTTTTGTCCTGTTGTTGAAGTCACTTTGCTAATGTTCTAGAGCTATTTTCTTTTCATATCTATTGTGGCCAGAAGTATTTTGATTGATCTGTGGATGAGATGAGGATGCGCTTCTAGGTGAGATTTTTCTCTTTTTTTTTTTCCTGCCCTGTCTATGAATCATGTTACATAATCTCATACCGTATGACCATATTCTGAGATAGCGATCTAACTAAACCATTATTGGCCTGATATGTTGTACATTATCAGCTCCCATGACTTTATTGAACCTATTTCTTCATTTGGTATCTTTGTCCACCCTGTAGATACCCACAAATAGCAAATATATGTAAAAAATATATAATGACCTGTTTTGCATATTACTCTAACCATAGCTTGCTTAACCATGGTTTATTTCATACACAGCCATTGACTGGGTTCATCCCACACCTTGATCTATATACCACGCTTTACAGTCTACAATGTCTGGGTTCACACAATGTACTACACCAAAATCAAACATGCACATTTTGGTTTACTACGAGGCATTATCCCAATTGATATCTTAAATATGGGATTATAGTTAATATAGTTGGGTTATTGTTTTTATACAGCATAAAAAACCCAGTGCAAGTAAGGTTTCTGGCCACAATGGCAGGCACAAGTAACCAGTTGAAGCCCCACACCTTTGTATGTGCACACCCAGAGAGGCTGGGGCTTGATCATCAGGGTGTATCTACCATCTTGGCTTTTGGGGCCTCCTCCCCCACAAAAAAACATCCCTGTGGTTAACTGGACACTTCCATGTAAGGAGGGGGAGTCAAAAAAGTTAAGAAAAGTTGGAGAGAAAGAGGAACAGGGAGAGAGAGAGTTCAAAACTCAGGTAAAAAGACAGAATGGAAAAGAACATGGGTATATAGAAAAAAGAGATACACACTGGTTGCTCTTGTGACAAAGCAATTGTTCTATAAATAAATTTCATACAAGGTTTTTTTCAATAAGTTTTTATTATCATCATCATCATCATCATCACCATCATCATCACCATCACCATTGTTGCCATTGTCATTGTCATCTTCACCATCATCACAATAGGAGCTTATATTCTATGCAACCAAGAAAGGGACTGCGAAAAGAGAAGATATCAATATAACATCTCTAAATTTATCATTTTGGGGTGATGGTAATGTTAGTACTACTTCTGAACAAATAAACCCCATTTTGCCACAATATCAAATATATGTGTGGCTTACTTATAATCTGTCACCCGACAGATAGTTACTGCCTCACAGCCAAAGAAAAACTCACAATTTTTAATTATATAGAGATGCTTTTTCAGTCTTGATTCTGCTTTTCTCCTTTTTTCAATTTTAAATTCAGTAATGCTTAAGTTGCATATTTCCTCCACCCCATAAGAATCCCCCATAATTTTAATAAGCATTTTTCTTCATTTATACATTTTTCTATTCATGTTTTATAATGTTTTTGTTTATGTCCCATTTTAATACAGTGCAGTTTATTGTTCTTCTAATAAATGCATGTTAGGTTCTTACCAGAATGGTCACAGTATACCCATTTAGGATCTACATCATAGTTACTGCTGAGAGAACACCAGAATTTCCCATTGGAGTCCCCATCTGCTGTACAAGATGAGTAAGATCTACCTTGATAGATGAAAGGAAAGATACATGGACCTGTTGGCTTGGAATCCAGTCCTGGAAAAAGGAAAGGAATGAGAGAATCTCACAGATCAGCAATTCAGAGTCAAAGGCAAAAAGATGCCTTGGAAGGTACAGGGCACAGACATAACCCGTATCTGCAACTCCTTAAATGCATCTCTTCCCAGGATTGCACAGCTGTAATCGCTGGAAGACACAGTTGCTTTGAGGAGCTACAAATATGATAACGACCACACCAAATGTCTACAGTTCTATTTATATGGTGGTCTCTGACTCTAGACTTTAATTGATCCTGCTGTGGATAACCCCAATTTTTGCCCTATGCAGAGTTCACATCTGTTCTAAAATCAGCCCTAATTTTACAAGCCCAGTCCAACACCAGCTTTTAACAAAGTGATATCCCAACTTACTTATATCAGCACAATAGCTCCAGTTCTTATCCTGGTCATAGTTTCGTGTTGTGGCACACCAAAACCTCCCATAAGCTGTGTCTTCATTGGTGCAGGTATAGAAAGTTCGTTTTTTGTAGATGAAGGGGAAGACGCAGGCCTGGCCATGAGAGTTCCCTTCATATTCTGTACATGAAATGTTAATTATTAATTAAAAGGATTAAGAATTTGTCAAAAATGGAAGAAAGGTTATGAAGCAGAAAAATAGCATTAGTTAAGGCAAGTAAATTACCCTTTCTCCAAATCGATTTTCCCATGGGAAATAAACTGTCAGCTTAGCCATGAAACATTTAGACACAAAGAATGTTGATTAGGGCACTAAGATACAAGAACAATACCAGGAAGCAAGGCCAATATGAGGTAAACCCATGCATGTAACTCTTTAGAAAGAAACTATGTTCATGAAATACTGTCTCTTTGTTCTCTCAAAATATGCTACTCTCTAGGTAATACTGCCTCCATTACTTCATAGTTCCAACATAACTAGTTCGACTATAACTACCATAGTTGTGGTAGTTCCACCATAGACAGATATGGTAGATAAATAGGTAGATAGACCATAGAGAAGATAGATATGGTAGTTCCAGCATAATTACCTCACTAAATTCATGATGTGCTGCTATATCCAATCAAATATTTTGCTGCTGATTCCAATCACATA